AGAATAGAGGATCAAATTCATTTTCGTCAAAATTTTTGGAACACAATCTAGTAAAAATACTAACTTCAGGGGGTTGAAAAGAATTTCATGACTTTAGCCAAACTACTGTTGTCTCTTTGAAAAATTTTCAAGAACCTTGCCAATTAGTCACTATTAGCTACCCCACACACACATAAAAATATATATATATATATGGTAGAAAAGTAGACGTTAAGCTGAGCTGACCGAGCGAGCATGTAACATGTAATTATCTAGTGTTCCGTCTACAAATATCCCATCACATTGATAATGTATTTATTGTTTTTTTTATCATATGCATGAATCTTCATGTCCTTTTAACTTATAAATCTACATCTCCTATTAACTTAGAAATTTATATTGATGAGCCCTACAAGGTACAGTTATGGCATGCTCCGTGCTCTAGTTTTGCCAAGTGGAGTCTGTTGACGCTGTAAATAGCATGAAATTGTTGGCTGTCCAAACTTGACTTTCAAAACCATGCCAGAATTATAAATTATTCCCTCAAAAAACTCTTCGGAAACTAGTTTATCATAGGTAAATGTTGATTTTATATCAATCGGCCAGGGGCGAAATACATCATTAATTCATCGTCCGAAACATGGACACCTTCAATCATTGACATTTGGTCTTATTTAGAAAGTTTGAAGTCACCAAGTAGGATTAGTAGACCATGTTGCACCAACAAACTTAGAATTATCTTAACTTGCATCCAGTGAAAATTAGGTTTATTATAAAGGGTTTCCATATTTGTTTTTCACGTTTGGATTGCATATGCATGTTTTATATTATTAATATAATTCCAATGAAAATAATTATTTTTCTCTTGAACCAAAAACATAATTTCTCTGTTGTTTTATCAAATTTTCTTTCAATTTTCATTCCAACAACTCGGAGATAAGACCATGATCTTCTAAGTATTCTCTCAATTACTCAATTCAAAAAGCAAATAATACTGAATTCAATCAAAAAAAAAATACAAATCAGATTAACTGAGGAGACTAAAAATAATAAAACTAGCGACCATATTCTAGTCTTTCATACAACAAAGAGGCTCACCTTTTTCTGTATCCAATCTCTGGTACAAACAAAAATCTTCACCAATATTTAGTAAATGTAGTCTGGTTCTAGGAACCGCAGTTTTTGAAACCGTAATGGAATCCTATTTTCTTAGTTAGCTGTGGGTATCCAAACAGCTTTTACGTTCTAATCTGGTTACCCTATTTTTCCTATTTGGTTTTGTTGGATTCTCCAGCCTTTAGTACCAATCTTTTTTTTTTTTGCGCCTGCACACCCTTGTATAACAAACTAAATTTGTCTAATAACTCATTTATGGTTTACGCAATACAATAACTTTAGCCCATTTGTCCTTTTCAGATAAAAATTATATGGAACCCAAATTAAGTACCCGAGTTTTCCAATAGAAAGGTCGAGTATCAATCTATTAGAAAATTGGCTTAATTTTTCTAGATAGGTTTTTTGTTTTGTGTTGAACTAGTTTTCTAATTAATTTTAGTTACGTGAAGTACTAACCAAGGAATTTTTTTTTATGAGTTTAAGAATTAAAAGTTATTTCCTATTTTGTATGAGAATAGGAATTAATAGTTATTTCCTGTTATTACTTGGGTGTTGACCAAGTAACTTATAAATAGGTGGGGATTGGCATACTACAAGGTGATATACAAGGACGACATGTAGTCGTATACATTGGGTGAGAGAAGGTTCTTGGGAGATGAGAGATTGTATATAAGGGTTAAGATTGGCTTCAAGATGTATTCTTGTATAGGATCTTCCTCTCATAATAAAGAATATGTTTTCTCTTCTTCAATGATAGAGTTGAATCACATTAAATCTTATATGTCGTTTATCTTTCATACTTGTGGTTTGTTTGTCATTAAATTGTTTTGTATTTGATATCTCAATTGTCATTTGTTTCGTGGTTGAATCCCAACAACTGGTATCAAAGCAGGATTTGTAGTTTGGTCCCGGTTGACTATTGAGATCAAATGCGTTGGTGGCTATTATCAACTCAACAATTTAATGGTAAAGACATCCTTGTTTCAAGGGTTTGGCAAAAAGTATTGAAGGTGAATGATGGGAAGTCAAAAAGCATAGAGATACTTGACGGTGTGAATCTAGGCAGGTGATTCAATTGTCAAGAAAAAGGTGGAGTCCAAGTTGATTTTGGACGTGAATCGGTAGAAATTTTCTTACAACTCCAACAGTTGATACTTCATTCCAATAGTTTTTAAATTCAGGTCATATTCTTTGAGTGGTGTGGCATGTGTTCTAAAGAAATAAAGGGATCTAATTTTCAAACACCAGAAGACTCTAAAGGCTACTAGTTTTCTGTTCATGGACAGACAGTCCTGGGGATGGGAAGAAATATAATGATTTTGCCATTTGGTTGCCTCAATGGTTAGAGATAGAGCTCACAAAAAGGGAATCGCGAGTTTCAAGTGGTGATGAGAAGAAACTCTACAAAGGGAGATGGTGAATTGAGACACATTCTCACGAGTCAACCGGTGGTTAGATTCGGGGTAACTACGTATGTTCATTTGCGATTTGAATTAATTGACTGTCAGGATTGTATCGAATCGGATGTGTAGTTCGATACCATATTATTTGATAGTTGAAGGCAAATAGTTGCTAAAAGAAATATTCGCCAAGGTAGAGATTTGTTAGGAAATTGGCTTAATTTCTTTTAGGCAAGTTTCTTGTTTTGTGTCGAAATAACTAGTTTTCTAATTAGTTTTAGTTACTTGAAATAGTAGCCAAGGAATTTTCTATTTGTATGAGTTTAGGAATTAGAAATTATTTCCTATTCTATAGGAGAATAGGAATTAATAGTTATTTCCTGTTATTACTTGGGCGTTGGCAACTAATGTAACTTATTAATAGATGGAGGTTGACATACTACAAGGTGGCACACAAGGACGACATGTAGTCGTATACATGGAATGAGAGAGGGTTCTTAAGAGATGACAGATGTTATATAAGAGTTGAGATTGGATTCAAAATGTATTCTTGTATAGGGTTTTCCTCTCATAATAAAGAATGAGTTTTTTCTTCATGGATGTAAATTCAATGATGGAGTTGAACCAAATTAAATCTTGTGTGTTATTTATTTTTCATGTTTATGATTTATTTGTCATTAAATTGTTGCGTACTTGATCTTTTAATAGTCATTTATTCAGCGTTTGGATCCCAACAGATCTCATACAACGAAAAAGGCATCATTTATCGGTCATTATGGACAAACACTTGATTTAACTGTATATTTAGTTGAAAAAATAAAACTTCATATTCACTAGTCATTTGTATTCCTCCAATCGAAGAAGTCAAACTTTTTTTTTTTTTCTGTGAGCTAAAGAAGAAGAAGAAGTCAAACTTCATAATTGATTAGCTTTCAAAATTCTAATGGTACGGTGTCCAAAATAGAGAGATCAAATAATTCTCTCAAATTATAAAAAGGGATATAAATTTAACAAACAAGAAAAAAATCCACTATTATTCGTAGTTGATTCTCTTTGTGACTTTTGCTCTTGTTCTTTGTTTTACTTGTCTTGGAGAAACAAAACGAATATCCGGCAGAAAAGCTGAAAGCGGACACAACTTTACCTTGGCAGCTAGTGGAAGTAAGTTTCTTCAAGGTGCAAGCAAAGCTTATTCAGAATATTGCGTAGAAATTGCAAGTTGGTTCATTATCCATGCCACATTATATACAACATAATATAGGGATGGAATTGTTTATTAAATTGTTATGTACAAGTAGAATTGATGCTGACGGGAAAATTTGTTGCATCAGTAGTGGATTGCCTTTTTTTTTTTGGGCATGTTGTATATGTAAATTTTATTTTCTATAGACCATATCACATCAACTTTTTATGAGGATGAAACCCTTTTTTTTTCGGAGAATTTGGATGAAACATGATTTAGTTACCTCATATACCCAATGCTCTTCAACCTAGTAAACAGGTAGGTTGAACACAATTAGTGTGTTTAGCAAATTTTCTAAACCAATAGAATTGATCAGGGCGAACTAATAAGTTGCAGTCAACTGTTCAACACGTTCCGTGCACAATCCTCTCTGGTCTAAAAATAGTAGCTAAGACGAAATTTCGAGTACAGTATGGAGATGGAAAAGGCTTCAACAATGGAGTAGTAGCATCTTGAAGTGAAAGCAATTGTCACTTCTTTGACCAATACCTTTTTGTCCTGTTTTTACTATACTGCATATATTAATCAACTGGCTTACATTCCATTTGTAATGTTGTTCATATATACAAGTTGCATGTGGTGCAATATATAATTTTATACTCATATAACGGGCAAAAATACCATTTGCAATGTTGTACAATATTATGACCAAGCGAGCATGCCCAACTATGGTCTTGTTCTCGTTTACTTTATGTTTTACAAAATTTAATTATAAAAGTAATTATAGAGAATAATTAAAATCAACTAAAGTTACCTTTTGATAGATTATAGTTTTTTTAATTATTAAAAAATTTATAATGTAAATAAAAAAAAGTAAAATCAATTCAAATAATCAACCGAAAACAAACTCTATAAAACACAGATAGTATTACGCCAATTCTCAAGCTGCCTTCTAGTGATTAAATTTGTGAACCATATGCGTTTTCAGAAATTTCCTTTTTTCTATTTTGAAGATGTACCTTTTGCTCTTTGTGTGTGTGTGTGTGTGTGTTTTGTTTCGCTTTTGTATGCAGGGGCATAATTGTGAGTGGGTAATGGGATGGAGATATAACTCTGAAAAAAAATTACCATAGAAGGTTAGATAATCCAGACCAATGGAGAATGAAGCACATATTATTAAAAAATACAATAATGTATAGTATAAAGAGAAGAGACAAAAAATTCAATAGACATGTTGCTACCAAAATCTAAAGCTGTTTCTTAGATAGGTCCCAGTAAGATTTTCTGCCTCCCACCTTTTCTATAAAAACCTCCCAACCCTTCCTCAACTTCTCCCCCCTCCCCTTAACTCTTACTTTAAGCCATCTTTTCTATCCTCTTAAATTCCTTAATATTTCTTTTAAGAGCATAATTAAATCTAAAACAACTTTAACCTATCCCTGGCAGTTAATTTAAAGCAGTGTTAGTTATACACTTAATGGTGATGATCGGGAAAAAGATATAGTAGTCAGGGACTTAAAGACTCATTAGAATGAAGGAGAATAGTCGAAAACAAGGTGCAGCTTCCCCATGTGCTGCATGCAAGCTTCTCAGGAGGAGGTGTGCTAAGGATTGTGTTTTTGCGCCTTATTTTCCAGCTGATGAACCGCAAAAGTTTGCAAGTGTTCATAAGGTTTTTGGTGCAAGCAATGTTAACAAGATGCTTCAGGTTCAGTTTCTTTTGTTTATTCTCTTCTCTCATTTGGTTATTTGCTTTTCTTTTTCTTTTCATTTTTTGTTCTTTTCTGTTCAATGCTTTTTCAATGTTCAACTGCCCCCCATTTGGCTTGATTATATATCTCATTTGCTCTTCTTTCTGATATAACCATGTCACCATATGCCATTTTAAAATTCATAATGCATCCTAGATATTCTTGTTCTTTCATTTTTTTCCCCAATTTTGGATGTGGGCTGAAAGAAAATGTCTTTTTTCTTCTTTTTTTTGTCAAAATCTTCACTCAACTATAGCCAGAACTACCATGACAGAATAATGTGCCATAATCAAGTTAGTTCCTTGATTAAACTAAACATGGTTGAGTTTGAATGTGCTTTCAAGGATGATAGATATTGTAACCACTCAAATGAAGTTGCCTTTGGATTCAACACAGCATGTTGATTCTTTTTAAAAATGGGCCAGATTAGGAGCAGTCAAAAGTCACAATGGAGTGATTACTTGTAATGCTATCCATTCTTTAAAGAATGCGAGGAAGATGCTAGGAAAAAGAAAAGAAAGAAAAAAGCAACAGTTGGATTGCGTGTTTACAAAATTAAGTGGTGGTTGATCCTGTAAAAGTTACAAGTCTATATGTCTTTTGTGCATTTTTCGGATCCTTTTCTTTCGCATTCTTTACAAAGCAAGAGAAAGTAATTTTCTTGGCAACATTCGTCTTTGCAATTGTAGTCATCGAACAGTATCTCGGCCTTCTACTCCTTTGTGATGCTGTTGCTTGATTATTACTTAAATGTCGTACAATCAAGTTTTCTTTTATATCATCACCGAGGCTTTATTAGTTATTTTTTAATGAATTAGTATCAAAGTTGCTAACCAATGTTTGCCACTACTTCAAAAGTACTGTTCTTTAGGTAAGCTTTATTTCATTGAATTATGTAGTGTGAACATGAATAGTGTTTCTGCTGTACAATAGTGTGTGTTAATTGGCAATAGATAATTGCTTACTCTCTGGTTTCTTTCCTGCTTTTTAAATCCCGCCACTTTCCTACTTAAAAAAGAAATTCGGTGAGATTAATATAGTTCTGCACTGATACGATGTATGATTTAATTACACAAGGTGGAGAGAGAGAGAGAGAGAGAATATTTTATGTAAGAAATGTCTTGAGTTATGCTTTTTTCTTTAATTCATTTAGACAATTTTAATTTTACGAAAAAGTACAAACGTATGTATGTACCAATAGATTCGTTTGAATATTTATACATACATAGATGTACACACATGACTTTGTAGCGACAACAGTTGTATTTACCTGACCAATTTTGGAGAAAAATAAATTAAAACGGGTCAATTCCGTAAATCTATAGTAGGGTAACTTTTGTGCTCAAAAAATAATTGAAAGGATGGAAATTTCAACTCCTAACTTGCCCGGTACGTATCAACGTCAAAAAATATATGGTCTAGATTAGAATTTATGAGACACTTCCTCTTTGTCCCATTACCCTAGTTTTAGGTCCCCACAACAAAGACTTCATATCTTGTCTTTTTCCTCTAAGAACCAAAAAAAAAAAAAAGAAATCCACCGTAAAACTTGGTTTAGGGGACTTGGACTATAGCTAGTTCTGTTTTGCAAACTATCATATTATTAATTAATTCAAACAAAGAGACCTACTAACTTTGTAAACTTTGCCTGATAAATTTGAGTTCGTATGTCCAAAATCTGTCATCTCCTAAAGTTAATAATAGCATTTATTAGTCAGCAATCTCATGCTCCATGATAGGAAAAAAAAAAAAGCTAACATTTTTGGAATATCTCGATTTTCTCAAAACTAATTCCGGTAGTAAACTTAAAACTGGCTTTGAAATGAACTTGTATGTTGGCATGTCAAGCGTGGGAGGTGGAATTTGTCAAAAACATATTGATTTGATTATTAAGAGAATGACATATTTCTTTTCATCTATTCTCCAGGCAATTTTTTCCCATTATACCCCACAAAAACTAACTTTATGTTACATCATAGGCCTATTTGTCAAAATTTCATTTCTAGCTTTCACGATTTCGGGTGATATGAAGCTTTGGACATTTCAACTCCTACTCTACTTTTGCTCACAGGATTTCAATCATGTTTATTCTTGGAGGGTACTTAGGATTAGGCATTTTTTCTTCTTTAGGTTAAATCCCTCAAGGCATTTGTTAAAAATGTTAGTCTGATAGATCCAGTGGTGTGACAAATAAAGTAATACTCTAGTCTAATCACGAGCAGAGAAAAAGAAAAATCTAATTAGAATAAAAAGATGGCCAAGTAATGATGCCTTGATTTGATCAAGAGACAATACTGCCGTGTGAATTGATTCCTTTGATTTTCGCTTAAAAGAGTACGTGATGATGGTCCTAAATCACCTTTAGGACTAGGTACAAGACGGGATTGTGGAGAATAAAGCAATTGCTCCTGTATATATTTCTATGCAGGAAACATCTCTTTCTCTTTAGACAACTAATCAATTTTTGAGAGAAGAAATATTCCTCTTATCTTTTCTTTTCTTTCCCCTTTTTTTTTTTTATAATTCATGGGTGCATGTAAGCTCAAGCTTTTTAGTCAAAGATTTTTCAATGTGAGTTGTTTGAAAAAGTGCATGCTTATATCATATAATCGGAACTTTTTTCTTTTTGTAGGTAAGTTCACACTGATAAAACTTACAAAGTCTAAAAGTATGCAAGTCTAAGTCAAAATTTAAAATTTTTCCTTAAATTTCAAAGGAGAGTGCATGGTATGTAATCATGAGATCACTTTAACGTTGGTGATTTGTCAAAATTTGGGTGACACTTCTTGATGACTTTTGTCCAAGACATTGGAATCTCTATGTTTTGGCCTAATTGATTATCTCAATTTCGCATCAGATTGCTTGTTTCAGGGTTTAAAGTACATCATGATATAAAGTTTAATTTCATGATGATGCTATGAACAGGATTTTATCGAAATTAGGTTAAAATTTTAAATAATAATTGCAGGAACATGGTCGCATTTAGTCGACATGTACCAAAAAAAAAGGACAGAAAACAAATTAAAAATTCTCCTACAATTTGAATGACAATTCGCGGAATCTAATTAAAATGCTTTCCTAACAATCCTTTTAATTATGCTGAAGAGTGATGTACATAAGCCAAGTTCTTATAATAAGTACTTAATACAACATAACATCCAAAGTATTACGTTAAAAAAGTCCAAAATTGTTTACCTGTTCTTTACTTTCTCCATAAATTTACCTAACTATTAAAGAAGCTTCATAATAAGGTTACTAATGTTGTAGAAAAAAGCAGGCTTGATATCTTTCACTTTCTCTTTGCTTCAAAACTTTCCGTTTTGTTACAAGATTTTGTTGTTTGGTTTACCAGTTTGTAAGTGCAATACTGCTAATAATGTGGAATCTTAGCCAAAGTACTAATAAATAAAATAATCTAGATTCTAGGCAAAGGATCAAGAACAAAATGCACAGAAGTATCAATCTTCTTTTTGCAATATCTGCTGCTCATTTCTGAAGCATAAAATTTGCAGGAGCTGCCGGAGCATCAGCGGGGCGATGCGGTTAGTTCCATGGTATATGAAGCAAATGCAAGAGTGAGAGATCCTGTATATGGTTGTGTGGGAGCAATATCATCCTTACAGCAGCAAATAGATGTTCTTCAAACTCAACTGGCACTTGCACAAGCTGAAGTGGTGCAGATGAGAATGAGACAGTTCTCTTCGATTTCGCCCGGCACTGCGACCAATTCACCTGATCACAACAACATTACATCTCCTTCGTCATCCCGGCACACACAATCTCATCATGATCGTACGTCCCTTTTTGCAATGGGGATGGTAATAGATCATCAGGCCAGCATGGGAGAGTCCTTGTGGTCATGTTAGAAAAGTTAGTAGCATGGCAAGCCATGCCTTGTCTGCCTGGCTTTTATTTAGTCTAATGATTCTACCATGGTCTTTCCCTTTATTGCCTGGCTTTATCATGGTCACTTTTCTTGTTGGGGTTTTCTTTTGTGGGCCTGTTTTACTTACATTACATAGAATTACCTATAGCAAATTAGATGATGATGATTAATGATTATAAGTGACTATATTGTAAATTTATACACATACCTTTTGTGAGTAATTAAAGAGTTATCTATGTGTAGTTGACTATTTAAGTAAAAGCTCTGTTTTGCTTCTGTTGTTTTTCTTTAGCCAAAACTGCATCGATTTCAAGCCATTATCTGCACTTCTCGCTGAGAAATCCAAGTCCAGTACCAGAGAAAAAAAGATGTTATGTGATGACATAATTATTTCTTCTGCGCATGCTCTAAAGGTATGGAGGAATGGCAATGATTATTTGTAGGGAAAAAGATGCGCATCAGCAGTTGGTACCAATTAAAGTGAACTTGTGATTTCAAAGAAGCAGCTGAGCTAAGGAAGGAATCTTCCTGAACAGAGGCAGCTCTTGTGATGCCCTTAATTAATTTCGTGTAGAGATGAAATACATCGCAAATAAATAAATAATATACAGGCTATGTTTGGATAGTAAATTTTTTTAAAATAATTTTTCGCTTATATCATAAACATTTTTTTTAATCTACTTTTTTTACATTTCCAATCACATTTTTATCTCACATACATCACATCACAAAAAGTACTACAGTTTTTATAGTACTGATAATAATAGTAGCAAGATACCAATAACAGCTAGTATTATTTGCAAAACAGGGTTTCAACTATAGTGATACTACTATATGGTTGTAAAATATCAATAAATGACTCTTAGAATTATTGACTATGTTTGCTTTTTTCAAACTTTAGTAACTAGAATCACTCATGCTCTGAATGTTTGGAACAAAATCTATAATTCTCTCGAATAAATGTACAACTTTTGGAGGTTACATTACTAGTTTAACCAAATTCATTCCCTTGTTTTCCTTTGTTTAGTTTTACTTGGGCCAAATTTGCAACTTGCGACTAGTCTAGTTTTTGTCGCAAATTTCATTAACTAGTCAACTTATTCATTTATCCCTTTTTGTAAAGAAGTGAAAATTCAGGTACAAAAGCAATTATAAAAACCTAGGATATGAATAAAAAAGAAAAAGAAAAATGAGAACTCGCTTGCAGGCCATACGGGCACAACGGAAATGATTAGCTGCATGATGATCTTGGATCGGTTCATGGGGTAGAATTTCGAATTGGGGGAACCTTCGGTCTCTGTGTAAGGTCCGGTCAGGTCAAAACAAAATGGGTTTTCGTTAGCGAATGGATTTGGTTTACGCTTTAAGTTGGGTAACGTAAGTGGGCCTGCCGATTTTTTTTTGGGTTGGGCTACTTCGAGCAAATTTTTTTTTAGTAGCACAGAAACGAAACTTAACTTTGCCTTCTGATTAATTTGTTTGTGTTAAATGCCCAAGTTTGGGCCAACAGACTTCGTATCCTGTGGTTAGACCCAAACTAATAGGTTGGGCCCCACAGCCCAACATAGACCTTTCCTGATCCCAATCAAAAGAAAACAATGCAGTTGAATGCGTTGGGGCAATTTTTAGTCATTCATGCTGCATACAATTCCATCATAGAATTTTATAACACTTTTACCACTAAATTTCAACATACATTTGCGGACAATTCCCATGGAACTCTATAATCATGAATCCTCACGAACTGTTTTTTTTTAAAAAAAAACTTAGAGAGATCAATTGGCATTAGAAGGGAATCATAACCCAATCAGCACATAAAGGAAAAAGGAAAAAAAATCTTAAAATTCAAGTCTAGTCTTCGATTATAGTAACTAACTTGATTAGGGATGGCAATGGCGGGAACCCATCTTGCGAGGGAGGAATGGGGTAGGGGGCGGGGAGAGGGGGGAGGGCAGGGACGAGAGGGATTTTCTTCCTCTTGCATTAAATGAAGTAGGTTAGAAGGGAGAGGCACATAGCACACCCCGTCCCATTCCCCTTATGTTTGAGAACTGGGAATTTTACTCATGTTTTTTAAAGGTAAATTTGGAGCCTATAAGATTTAGGGAATGCAACTAGAGGTGCAATCGAGTCAAATCAAGTTCGAATATTACACTACTCGAGATCAAATCAAGTTAAAAAACTTGAATTCAAACTTGAGGTTGGTGTCGAACTCGATTTAATTTTGCATTACTCGAACTCGTGCTTATTGAGTCCAATTGAACTTAATTCGAGTTCAATTGAGTCTAATTGATATAATTTAAAATAGGAGACAAAATAGATATTTCATACTAATAAATAAAAATTAAAAAAACACAAATATATGAAGCTCAATTAACCTTGACGAGCTTTTGAAATTCATATTAAGTTCAAGCTCAACTTGTCAAGTTGCTCTACCTACTCAAATTCGAGCTCGAACTCGATCAATAAGAGCTTGAACTTGACCTTTGACAGAGCAAACTCATGAACTATTCGATTAAACTCGATTCTTTTGAACCCCTAAATACAACAGCAGAAGGAGCAACTTAGAAACTGTATGTTTATATGATCACAATTCATCTCATTCAACAAAAAAAAATGACAATATTTAAAGCTTCTCAATCGTCTTTCCTTGTCCTATTCGAACGTATGATGATTTCCATAAACTAATTAAAATTGAATTCCTTTAGTAGTCTTCTGTTGGAAGAACAATAGACCTAGAACATATTAAGTTGGATTAGTCGTCTACTTTTGCATGTTCATGTATTGGTGTTTTCTTAAAGTAGCAGAATAAGCTTAGAGAAAATTTATTTCCCTATGGCCACCCACAAAAGGAGCAGGGTAGGACTAGGGCAAGTGTGAGGATCCAAAATTTTCATACTTTTCATTTTGGCTTACTTGCTTGTATATATAGTGAATGATAACGGATTGTTGTACCTTATTGTTTCTTTTAATTGATTGTCTAACGTTTTGTAGCATGACATATTTATGGAAAGAAAGAGATTTTAATACAAGAGATTTCAAACCCTAGCTTTGACCGAGAAAAGAAAGGATTTTGTTCATTTTTGCTCACTTTTAGATGTTTGCAAGTTGTGTTGTGACCCGATAGTTAGTTACATATTTTCTTTGATTTCATTTACTTACCTTGAATTCTTGATTATTTTATTAGTTGAATCAAGATTTTGACATATTTTCTTATTTTACTTGGTGCATGTTTCATTTGATGCATGTTAAGTCTCATAGTGTCACTACAAGAAAAATTATATTTGGAGGCACAACAAAATGATGGAATAGGGCACTTTTAGAGGCACTTAGACTATTGAGGCGCACACATGAAATGTCTACTAAACTACCCATTTGGAAAAAGTTGGAGGCGCTTTTTAATGGCATGTTTAATGAATTTGATGCACTCACAATTGCCATGATAGAAATTGCAAATAGGCACAAACCAATGTCTCTAAAGATGCACTATAAAGGAGTTTTACTTGGTATCATTTTTGTCCTTTTTAGGACACTTGTACATGTTGCCAAAAGGTGTTTGTCTAGGCACAATTAAGTGCATTATATACATTAATGGAGGCAGTTTACAATGTTGTGTTTACCTGTCTTTCAGGGCATTTTCTACCGTTGTTAAAAGGAATCTTCAAACTCTCAAAAAAGTGTCACGATATGTGGTTTTAGTAGATGCATTAGTTTCAATGTAGACATTGGCAAGTGCCTCAATAGCTGTCTTTTTTTTTTGGTGCAATTTTCATCCAAATTTTGTACTCTAATCTCCTAATACAATACGCCAAACACATAACATGCAAAAGTAAGATAGCCACTATGCCTAAGAATATAAATCTGCTTGAAAGTTTATACCTCATAATAAATTTTGTGACCATTTCATAAAGTACACAAATCTGAAGTTAATTCAAAAACTAGTATTGCTTCTCTAAACAAAAGGCTGCCATCCAACTCTTGCAATAGAATCCAGCAGCAACCTCAAGAACACAAAAATATTCCACAAATTTGAAGTTAACTCAAAAACTAGCATTGCTTCTCTAAACAAAAGGCTGTTGTCCAACTCTTGCGATAGAATCCAGCATTGTCTTTTCTAAAAGTGCAACTATCAATCCTCATGAATCTTCACCAGTCGGATCATTTTCAGATTTAATCCATCTGGATTCTTTACATGTTTCACAATGCTTTCTGCTTGCATCTACTCCCCAATACAAAGTGCAGTCATTCAGACATGCATCATATTTATCATACCCAAGTCCTAATTCTTTCATTAACTATTCAGCTTCATAATAAGACTTAAGCAAACCTTCCATCGCATCTGGAAAGGCTTCTTTCAACAAATCAAGTAACATATCAAAAATTTTGTTACTGAGTTTACCAAGGCGTTTGAGGTGAAGCAACCGAATCATAAAGGAAAATTTTGAGAATCTTTTACATCCAGAGTAAAGCTCTTTGTTAGAATTATCAATCAGATTGTAAAATTTTTCAGCTTCTACATTGGGCAATTAGTTTTGTATTCAGTTCCATCTATCTTTGTATGATCTTGTTTAGGAATTCCCAATGCATCATGAACCAAACCATGCATGTCATCAAGTTCATCCCGTACCCCATGTGAGATATCATGAGAAGTAGGTTTTGGTGCACTAGAGTAAACAAATTCTCCATGAGCTGCCCAATGGGTGTATCCTTTAATAAAACCATAAACTTTCAAATGAAGTTCTGCATTCTCCCTGGTACTACATACACCACACTGACATTCTTTACATGGACATAATATCATCCCATTTATACTTGAATTCTGGAATGCACAATCTAAGAATTTTTGCAAACCATCCCAATATTCTTTGCTTCGTCTATTCTTTGGCATCCAAGTTTTATCCATATTCTGTAACCATGACAAATTTAACCTTAAAATATGCGCATTCATACATATACATATATATGTATAAGCAAAAAGCAATTAAGATTATCAAGAAGCTATTTGGAAGTCAACAAGAAGGTCACTGTTTGAAGTAAAAGTACAAGACATGAGCAAACAGGCCAAACCCCAAAGGTTTTCCACCACTAGCCATTTATTACGTATCACCAAGTAAACAGTTTTTTACACGAATCAATGTTAAGAATAAAATTTGCATGTCATATGATATATCCACTGCAATGACACTCCAGTTTAGAAAAGAAATTAAGAATCCGAATGACCAAAAAATGAAAAGGAACGTACATTATAGGTTCAAACAAAT